ATTTTTAATGACTAGTCTTAATCAAAAGTGTTCTCCTATTATCAAGAGGGATAATTAACTATAGGGGCCTTCGTCTATGAAAAACCTTGAACCCCAGATTAAAAAATCTTTGCAAAATAAGGGCAAAATCTCCGGGTAGCGTCCTATCTACAATCTAATCTATCTTTTGAAAAATTTGACCCCCCAAAGCTCTTTCAAAAACAAAATAAAAAAAATAATATTATTAGATGATTTTGCACATTAAACATCAACTATCTGATGATTGAGTAGATAATACAGAGAGTTTTCGGGGAAGCGGCCGTGAATTTTCGGAGCCCACGATAAAATTAAAGAGTCATCTTAGATGATTTCGTCACATTAAACATCAACTATCTGATGATTGAGTAGATATTTTAGATTTGACTTATGTTAAGAGGGTAGAGGTAGACCTTAAAAAACTTGGACATGTTATATAAAAAATGATCTTAATTTATTAAAATTAAATGAAAATATGACACTCAATATGGGACACAACGGAGAAAAGGGATTCATGTAACCAACCCCACCTGTGGGATAAAGGCTTTGTTGTTGTTGTTGTTGTTGTTGTTGTTGTTGTGTTGTTATTGTTGTTGTTGTTGCAAGATTTAAGCTAATTTTTTCTAAATTCTGCCCAAAAAAATATACCAAATAGCCCCAAAATTATCATGAACTTTGGTTTATGCTATTTATAAGATTAGCAAGATCTCATTTCTCTAACTTAATATTATCTGCGTGCTTAAATTATTTTTTTGCATTTATCTAATGAACATTTGAATTTTCATATATATTATGTTTTATTCAATGCTAAATCTTTCTTGCGCCATTTAATTTTTTTAAAAATGTAAATTTGCAAACCTTACGTTGCTTTTGTAAATATTCTATTGTGTACAAAAGCTCTCTAACTTAATATTATCTGCGTGCTTGAATTATTTTTTGCATTTATCTTATGAACATTTGAATTTCCAAATATATTATGTTTCGTTTATTGCTAAAACTTTCTTGCGCCATTCAAATTTTTCGGAAATATAAAATTGCAAACCTTATGTTGCATTTGTAAACATTTTATTGTGTACAACAGCTCCATCTCATTTCTCTAACTTATTTTTTTCTGCTTGCTTGAATTATTTTTTGCATTTATATAATGAACATTTGAATTTCCAAATATATTATGTTTCATTCAATGCTAAAACTTTCTTGCGCCATTTAAATTTTTTGAAAATGTAAACTAGCAAACCTTACCTTGCATTTCTAAACATTCTATTGTGCACAACAGCTTCATGAAACAGAACATGGAGAACGTGTAGAAATTGGAAGGGGAGAGGTACAAAAATGTAAACTAGCAAACCTTACCTTGCATTTGTAAACATTCTATTGTGCACAACAGCATGGAGAACGTGTAGAAATTGGAAGGGGAGAGGTATTATTTTAGTTTGTCTAGCCATTGGTACTTTCTGCTACATACAGTCTTCATATTGGACATTGCAATCATTTGTGGATACAAAGTATTCTATTTACAATACATTGATTTAGAATTCACCTAATTCCTGTTAATTTTAAATACACTTAAAATAAACCAAAGGCGGACACCAGATGCGTCAACAAATTACTTTGGTTTTATTTTCCATACAACCAAACACCTAAAATTTAAAACTGTTATATTTTTTTTACACTCTGCACTCAAAATGCACCAAACCAAACAAGCTTTTAATATTTTAGACCTGCACAAAATTTTTCTTCATTTTATTCCTTAAGTGCACATAGTGGCAGCTGGTTTGTCTAGAATATAAATATTAGTAATTTTGTGCTTCGTCTTACATCATTTGTGCTTGATGGAAATTTTGAGTTGATATTTTTCATGTTATTATGGTTTATCTTTCTTTTTTTTGTCACTCTACTTGATTAATCTCCCATTTTTTATGCTTGATAAAGAGAAAATCATGAATGGTGATTTATTACAATTTATCTTTTGTGTGCCCTTGTCATTGTCAACCTAATTTTTTTTACATCTTCTCTGCGAGGAGTAAACAAAGGTTATAAAAATCAAATCATACTGGCCGATTCAATCCTGAGCTGGTCTTCCCGTAAGTTTGATCGAATTCCAAAACTCCTTTTGTACATAACCAGCCAAAATTGATTGAATTCGATGGCCAAACCGAGGAATTGGTGAACCTTTTGATAAACTGTCTGGTTTTAAGATTTGATCCATCTATGATATTTTTATTTTGATGTAATGGCTAGAGATAAAAATTTAGAATAACAAAACTATTTAAATTTAGATATCTTAATTTGAAGTTGAACGCTTATAAACATGAGAAGTGTGATTGGTGAAATTTCTCATAATTTATATTTTGTTATTGCCATTCCAGTTTAGTGGTAAAGCACTAGATATTTTTGCATGCGTTTATATAAGTGTTTAACTGATTACAGAAAAAGTAATTATGTTGTCATATGTCATATCCTGATAATCTGCTGATGAGTAGCTGATACAGATAAGCTGGCTGACTGTTTGGTTTGTGCGTTTGAAAAACAGCTGATTCTGGATAAATGACTATTCTGCCCCTCTTGTGGATGAGTTATTTTCTTGTTTGGTTTGTGCGTTTTGAGAACA